ATACTTGCTATGAGTTCTACAAACAAGCATGCCTTCAATCTTCACAGTTGTAGTTTTGGGCTGCTAATGGGCTACTGACAATAAGCCTGCCGCAAGTATCCGGATTACCTGCTATAAGCATGCCCCTACATCAGTTATGGAAGTGATGGTGAACGGCAAGCTTTTCCTAATGGAGTGATTAGTTTAGATCAACGAGAGCGTGCTTGAGCGCCGAGTAGTATTATCCATGTGAACGCAGTGAACTTTTGATAATATTCTTATCAAATAACTACGTTTTTAAAATCTTGTCAAGTCCATCGTGAGAATTTAATCTATCACAAGGGTTTTTGAAATGTGTCAGGTCCTCTGAGAGAATTTTACTCTATTTCGAGGGGTTTTTGAATTTTGTCAGGTCCTCTGTGAGAATTTAGTCTTTCACAAGAGTATTTGGAATTTGTCAGTTCCTCTGTGAGAATTTAGTCATTCACAAGAGTTTTTGGAATTTGTCAGGTCCTTTGTGAAAATTTAGTCTATCACTAGGGACACGTCCTGAGATGTAAAAAAAAACTGTTTTCGACTGTTGGTGTGCAAAATAAGCGACGCTGAGAACAGAACGCTGTTCGTTTTTCTGTTAAAAATCTCAAAAATGTCTTGCTCCAGATCTTTGGGCATTTGTGTTAATTCGTAGTCAACTATAAAGCACCTAAATCTTTGCTAAAAAAAGAGGTTTTGGAACTGCTCTATAGTATCTGCTTAAAACTTAATAGGACCTGCCATTAGGCAATATACTACTATTAGCCAATATACTGTGATTGTCGCTTTATGAGACTCATACGCAAAATCTTGTATATCACAGTTTTCAGTGACATTCTGATGTTTAATTACATGTGATTCCTTGCGCTCCGATTCCTTGCTTGCAAATCCGAAAAATAACATGCTTCTCTTTGTTGGGACAAATTCTGGTTACTCTTCAAAATCCATGCTGTGTGCTAGTTGGGTTGTGCTGCTTAGAAATAGCGGCAGTTTTGTTGCTTTGGAACTGTAATGTACAGTTTTCAAACTGAAGTCTGATAGATTTGACCAGATTTCAAAATAATTTCTCACCACCGAGGACTTTTTCGAAGGAAAGTTGGGAAAAGACAGTAGTTTTCATTTTAGTGTCGAACTGTTTGATGGACGAAAGTAGTAATCTGTACTACGAAATCCACATATCTGAAAATCACCTTGAAAACTGTATACTTCCTAAGGAAGCTTGAGGAAGGAGTTGTTTGATAGATACATAGCATATTGTAATAAGTTTTTCAAAGATGCACAGCAGCGCGAGAAGCAGCAAAGTCTCATACTCGAACTTGTATTCTTGTTGATTTTTTTTTAAGAAGCGCCAGAACGACGGCGAAATCTTCAGCCCAAACTTAAGCGATTCCTCTTAGTTGACAAGTGCACATCTTCAATCAAGCTAAAGTCAAGAAAAGCTGATCTTTTTGACCAGTTTTTGTTATAGAAAACACTTTGGATAGGGAGATCGATTTGCTGTAGTTCAGCTTAGATTAACGATAGCTGACAATCAACCAAAGAAAGTACAATATCCACAGCATGTTCATTCGTTGCAGTAGGACTAACTTACTAACTTATCTGACTTCCAAAAGTAGGCGAAACCGCTCAACTTAAAGTAAATATTACGGAAATTTGACTATCTCGGAGTCTCAGTATGGAACTACACAATTAGTCTGAATGAATGGTGGAGCGACTCTAACGCTATAGAATGTTTGCGTTATCACACTATGTCACTATGTTTTAAATGCCTGATATTTCTCTTGATTTTTTCGAATTCTTCGTGACCGAATTTCATAATCTATCAAGAAGAGTTGCATTAATGAGGTTTTTTTTCCCAATGAAAAAGACGCTTTTATCATTGCTGTTTTCTACATTATTGTTCTGTGTGAGATAGAGCCAATTGTGGAGAACTATAGGAAAGTCAGAAGAAAATTCAATGCGAAAGTGTTGAGTTGAGATTAAGTAGTTTTGGAATGTAAAAAGTTGTTGCAAATGTATTTAAATCTCTGAAAATATTGTGCAACTCTTTTCAGTGATAGATTTTGAAAACTACGCATTGCAATATCATCGTAGAATTACAAGAATTTCTAAAATATTGCTGATCCTTGTGGCGTCCACTATTTCATTAAATGAAACGCGTGCAGTCATCAGAAAAGATCAACCAAACCATGCGCAATACGTTACATCAACTACTTCTGTTAGTTTGCGCTTAGGTGAAGTGACTTGATGAAGATGCGTTTATTGTCAAGCAATCTCTTAACAAAGTAAACTTAATCTCGAAGGATGCTGGCATATTTCAGCTTCATTGGACTATGTTTAGTGACACTCATTTTGTAAGGTAGATCTGCTTACGCTGTGAGGTAGTGGCCTGCAGTGTGCTACCACTCGCCTCAACTTTGACAGCTCGCTCTCACTTTGCACAGTGGGCGAAAAAGAGCGTTGGGTGCGGGTAATTAATCTCGTTTCGATCTACGGCCAACTGTTATTCAGTTGTAAGACCTAATCCACGGCCAACTGCTGCGCATTTTTGAGGGACCAATCCTCGCTGGCCACTTGTTGCATGTCAAGTGCGCGAATTAATTGCCCCTGCGCATCGTTGTACCTTTGAGCATTGTTGTCGAAGAGGGGTATCGGCGGAACTCCTGGCTTGTGTGAGCCACAGTTGGTGTCAGCCGAGGAAAACAGCAGCCACACGATGTACAGAAATTTTACTAGTACTAGTTTTTATTTTGTGCCGGCAATTCGCGAGCGAGTCCTTTTAAAAACGAAAACATGTTAATTTTGATTTCAGTCAAAGCTTATTTCACAGCATTACCGGACCCGGTGACTAGGTCACGGTTACGCAAAATTTCGATAAATCACGGAATTTTATAGCTACTATCTATAGCTACTCACGGCTTTTCACGGCTGCTTTCACGGCACGGTTCCAGTTGCATATCACGGATCACGGGCATCCGGTGTGCAAGTCAAGAATAATGCGCTTACTTATGCAAAAAAACCAAGGCCTGATAATTTCTACGGAAAAGATACTCGCTCGCAGGACTGTAATTTTTGATTATCTACTATGTTAGTGCACACACTGTATTGTTAGTTAAGATTAAAAATACTCACGTGTTCGTTCGAATTTCCTTTTGGCCATAAGGAAGAGATTGCTGTGGAAGAGGAGAGGGAGGGAGCGGGGGGAGTTGTTTTGAAAACTTCAGAGACTACGAAATCGCAGAAAAATTTGCCTAAGCTTGAGAGTCGACACCCTTGTTCCTGACATGGAAGTCCCGGAGAGAATCTCTCCGGGACTTCCATGTCAGGAACAAGGGTGTCGACTCCCCTTACCTGAGTGTGTAGCGGTGTCTTACATAGAACTGGTTATCATATTTATTATATACATAAAGATACAGATAAGGAAAGGGGGAGGGGAGCAGCTAGGCTGCACGGAGTGGAGGTGACTGCCGTGCCAGTTGCTGGCACGAGCTTATATATGCGACTGAGTGTAAACGGCTGGACAGTTGGTGGATGCTTCCGATAGCAAGCTACATCCAACTATAGGGTTACACAGCGGCTACATCCTGACAACGTATGTTCCGAATAGAAAATTCCATTTCTGAACCGATCCGGACCAAACTTGGCACACATACACTACGGGCCCCGGCGGATGTCATAGGCTACTTTTCGTCATCGATCGATATCGATTTTATCGATTTTTATCGATTTTCTTGCAGAGTTCACCTACAGGGCTAGGAGTTGGCACAGGGGGGGAAGTGAGCATGGGGATTCCGAATACAATATTAGTTTCCAGAATTATCGATTACTTTTATTGATTTTATCGATTTTTTTGTAAATTTTGACATGCGAGGCTGGGGTTTTGTACAGGGGGTAATCGAGCATGGGGATTCCGAATACAATATTGGTTTTCAGGATTATCGATTACTTTTATCGATTTTATCGATTTTTTTGCAAAGTTTGAGCTACGGGGCTGGGAGTTTGCACAGGGGGGTAATCGAGCATGGGGATTCCGAATACAATATTGGTTTTCGGGATTATCGATTACTTTTATCGATTTTATCGATTTTTTTGCAAAGTTTGAGCTAGGGGGCTGGGAGTTGGCACAGGGGGGTAATCGAGCATGCTGATCACTCCCAAGGGGGGTGATCAGCATGCTCGATTACACCCCTGTGCCAAATTCCAGCCCCCTAGCTCGAATTTTCAAAAAATCGATAAAATCGATAAAAGTAATGGACGATCTTGAAAACTAATATTGTATTCGTAATCTGCATGCTCGATTACCCCCTGTGCAAACTCCCAGCCCCGCAGGTCAAACTTTACAAAAAATCGATAAAATCGATAAAAGTAATGGACGATCCTGAAAACTGATATTGTGTTCGTAATCAGCATGCTCGATTACCCCCTGTACAGAATCCCAGCCTCGCATGTCAAAATTTACAAAAAAATCGATAAAATCAATAAAAATAATCGATAATTCTGGAAACTAATATTGTATTCGGAATCCCCATGCTCACTTCCCCCCCTGTGCCAACTCCTAGCCCTGTAGGTGAACTCTGCAAGAAAATCGATAAAAATCGGTAAAATCGACATCGATCGATAACGAAAAGTGGACTGTGACACCCGCCAGGGCCCGAAGTGTATGTGTGCCAAGTTTGGTCCGGATACGGCGGAGCCGGGTAAGCCAGCTAGTATTGTATACTGTCAGCAACTTTGGAACAATGTTCTCACTTCTGGTGCCACGGTTGCTCACCAGAGCAATGATTTGATTTGATTGGCTTCTTTGTATAGGGCCAAGATTAAGTGGGTCCCCGTTTTGCCCGAGCACTGCTTCTGATACAACTTCTGATGATCGTTGCTTGCACTGGTGTTTGATAGCGTGTTCATGCGTTTTCTCTAAGGAGACCACAACCAAGATCTATTAATTAAACAGAAAAGAAACCTTTCTTTGTTTGATTATCACATTTCAGCATGAACCAGCAACTCACCCTAATGGTGGAATGGGCAAAGCACCTCAACGAGTTTCAACGACTTCCACTCAGTGCACAAGTAGCTTTACTGAGGTAATACTTCAGACCATCCTGCATTAGAGGCAAAGAGAAGTTAAATTGGCAAGGTGGTGTGCACTAGAGACGTGAAACAAATGGAAAGAGGAGATTGATAGTTATGGAATGTATTTCAAAAAAATATTGCCGCTGCCCACCTTCAGGCATTTCTCAGCCCAGCACCTCGTGATGTGCGCGGCTTTCCGTAGTATCCACTTAAACGATGTAATCTATCTAACAAATGAGACTTGCCTCCCTAGAGAACCTCCGCTCGGAGTGCCAGATGTAAAGTGAGCATTTTCCTCCCATTCCATTGGTATTTGTACCCACTTGTCTTACAGTACATTACAGCCGAGTTGCAGCTAGGATTGTTGATCATCTCACAACGCCCATGAGGAGACTGCAAATGAACGAAGTCGAATACGTTGCATTGAAAGCGATTGCTTTATTTGATCCATGTAAGTTGTTCAGTCAATGAGAAAAGCCTTGATTTCCTTTTATTATGCAAAACGACCTAACAAGGTGTCAAGCTGCTATTGAAGGCATTGTCACCCGGTATTGAGGGTGGTGAGTTTTGATGCAGTACATTAACGGACTCCTACAGACATTAACCGAAATACAACGTGAAATCTGAATTAAGGCGCGAAAATCGCTTGCAAAGGTAGATTTGGACCTGTCCTTCTTTCCTAGCAGCAAAAATTCAGCAACAATATAACAAAACCTTCAAAATTTGGACATTTGATTTAAATAACTCAATTGAAAAAAAACCTCCATTTTGTGAATTGTCACAAACACATCAAGTCTTGCCCAAGCAGCGCGCTTACGATGTCATAGGGCTAAGGCATACCTCACGCGATTCGCCCAACTCGCCACTTTCAAGCAACTTGGCGATTTGCCAGGTTTCTACAGATTTATCGTGCGCAATAACGCATAGGCGGGTAGCTTGTGTAGGTTGTTGCAAATAGAGCAGGTTCTGACTAAAGGAAGCCCACTAACGACGAATTACAAAGAGTCGCTGTCACGCCAAATCGCGCAGCGACCCGAATCGTGCGATTTATGCCTTAGGCCATAAAGAAACGTTGCAATGCCAAATCGCGCAGCGCCTGAAATTGCGCAGATATGCCTTAGTTCGCCATTTGAAGCGATTCTGAACTGAAAAGTCCTGCGAATGCTACGGGAAAGAAATTCATCTCCCAGAACGATGGAAGGGACGACAATGCATTTATGGTGAAATCGAGTTTTGCGAAACAATTTGTTCTGTTCAATTCTGTAGGAAAAATTTGCCTTACTCGTAAACGGTCAGAACTTTATAAGTAGCTTAAAGCAGCGCATATTTTGATCGATGCAATCTGCTCATAAACCTCTTTGAATGCCAGCAGCAAAGCCATCAAACATCAAATATCCCCAGCGCAGCAGACGTAAACCTTGAAAAACCAAACTCCTGACTGTATTTCAACTGTACTCGAAGGATGCATGATATTCACTCCATTATATCGCACACTTGCAACGATAGAGCGGGCCGAATCTTGCAAACCCATTAAACTGATTTTACCTGCCTTAACTCACAACACTAGCAAAGGTTTCGAAGACAGGGCTGCCAATATTAAGCCTGCTTCAATCCTGGGGCTTGACGAAACTCAATGCATTCTTATTTGATGTGCTTATCTAAAATTTCTACTTATGGAACCTTTGCAGTGGCAAAAGGAGCGGAAGATTCGTTCAATGATATCGATGAAACACGACAAAAGGTAGGTAACCTTGGTTTAAAAGCCAGCTTTAAAGAAATTTTGGTAGAGAATGGTTGTTGCCGTTTTGCTTATTTCTAATCATAAGTACTGTAACTCACTACACCAATCCGTTACCACAAATTCGTGCAAATATTCGTTTGCTGGCACAGCTTTTGCAGAAGATCTTACAAAATCTCAGTTCAGGTTCTCGAGTCATTTGAACGTCATGTGCGGCATATCTCACCTCTTCGTGACACGCCTCGTCGCTTCTCCAATTTATTACTACTTCTTCCACCAATGTTAGCTATAGCTCGAGATCTTATCGAAGATGTTCAATTGGCAAAGCTGTTCGGTCTAGCTTCTATCGATAGGCTAATGCAAGAGTTACTTCTACCTCCGGATAGTACTTCGCAAGCAGACAAGACATCTTAAACTAACCGTATGCAACGTATGTTTATATATGTGACTAGGAAGGGGATGAATACTGCTAGTAGTCTCTGACTTACCACAGTGCAAATAGCTGTAATGTAATCGCAGTTTGTATACGAAATCGGCAGTATTATTTCCCTAATCTATCTGATTCTTGCAAAAGCATTGTGATTCACAGTGTAAATAACCGGGTACCATTCAATTATTGTGATCACGCGATAAATAAACCTATACAAGCACCCAAAGACTGCTCAAAAAAGCTGGACGGCATCTTTTCGGATAGTTGCACGACAACGAACACTTTCACGCAGAAAATTTCATCTCTTTCAAATGTCTATGATCTTGTATAATATCTTTCAATGCTCGACGATGATATCTTTATGGCAAACTTACTACTGGTTAGGGATAAGTTGTCAGAAGAACTTACCACAGTGCATGATGAACATTTATTGAGGAGATTTATTGAAAGAAAGCACGCCAAGAAGTAACTACAGGCTTACACGTGATTTTGACAAATGACATTCCCGGCACATCAGTTCAGATGTAAAACTCACATGTAAGCTTTTTTTGCAAACTGCAGGTGTCACGTTTCTGAAGGATGTTTTTGCAAGGTGGCATAGATTTGGACAAGCACACAGTTGGCGTACAAGACGTTAGAAGGAATACAGAGGGGAAGCGAAAAATAGGGTGCTAGACTGTTTTGCAATAACATAGTAATGTAGAAGATACATTATATCTAAATTAGCTGAGTAGCGATTGAAGCGAAAATTTGACATGAACATTAGCTTGGTTCATTAGGGAATATTTGAGTGGAGTATCAGGTCGCCACTCACTAAACAGGCTCCTTTTGTATAAAGCGACTTTCATGTTCAATGGACTCGATATTTTGCCATTTGTTTACTCAAATTAGTGAAGCAAGCTTTTTCTACATGTGTCTGATGCAGCACTGCTTTCACGCTTGCAGTTTTTCAGAACCAATGCGCATGTCGCGTGCAATTGATGATATAATGCACGATCTTTGTGAGGATCACGTTCACCATTTGCAATTTTTTCGTTCCTACAATTTTTTTGCCTTTTTACTAAAAATCTCGAGCAAAGCTCTGGCTAGTTCAAAAAGTCAATATTGCATATGTCGCCCCTTCCACAATTGCTGCTAACCCTGCTCTTGATGCATCGAATCTGTTTGCCAGATTTTGCAAGGTATAATAAAATGGTTTAGCTATGGTTATGGTTTTCAAAACTACTCTATTAATACAGAAAAATTTGTACTGATTGGAGGGCAAGTTAATTCTTTCCGAGCGAAACCTCTACAATGAATGATAAGGTACAACACATAGCATATACAAATTCAAATAAAATTTGATACAAAACATTCTTTTTAAAGCATTTGCGAGGCAATTCTTACGTACAGCTCAGTGAAAATAAGGATCAACTACCAGAAATAAACATGATATGGGTCAAAAAAGTGCAAATTACTTAAAAGTGAAAGATGATCCTGGAAGATGATTTTTGAGTTTTTGAATTTGAATAAAAATTTTCTAATTTGCTGCTTAATCCTGAAAAGAAAGGAGCATAAGTAACATCTAAGGGCCGCATGCGCTAACATCGCCGCGGGGAGGGGATCGCAGCTTAAAAGAAGGCTTCATATTGTGAAGCTCCAGATATCTGGACTTCACGCTTCTACCGTTCCGTAAGTATTCCTACTATCCTTCACTATGAACATGTTGAACAGGAGCGGAAGCTGTACGAACCGCATCTTCCAGCTTCTGTATGGTCCCTGATAATCCCCGGCGCTTTTCTTTAAATTCATTTTTCTTTCTCCGATGTTAACAAAACCTTCCAATGTTGTACCGAACATCTAACACAACAGTGCTAAGCATGTTTCTGATGGAACAAATGAGTTTTTGAAAAACCGAATTTTTCGGTAAACCCCAAATTTCGACATGTGGATCATCGAAAATTTCATGACTTCAAAACAACATTTGTTCTTATCAGCAACATGCTTAGCACTGTTGGATTAGATAATCTGCACAACCTTGGAAGTTTTTCGTTAACTTCGGAGAAAGAAAAAATGACTTTAAAAAAAAGCGCCGGGGATCATCAGGGATTATGCAAAAGCTGGAAAATGCGGTTTGTACAGCTTCTCACTCCTGTTCAACATGTTCATAGTGAAGAATAGTAAGAGTACTTACGGATAGGTACACAACGTGAAATCCAGGTATCTGGAGTTTCGAAATATGAAGCTTTCTTTTAAGTTGCGATCCCTTCCCCGCGGTGATGTTAGTGCATGCGGCCCTAGGAGAGCTCGTTAGTGCAACGCATTACTATGCTCAATCAACCAAGGGCGAAGCGTCCAGCGCATCGCGTACGGTAGTCAGCTGCCGACTATGCGTGGTATAGTTCATAGCCACTCACCCTTTACCCGAGCTGCGCCAGTTTCTTAGAATTTGATTGTTCTCCCACTTTATCTCATGAAATTCATACTCTGTGGTTTTTGCAATCAATATGCCCACTCGAATACATGGAACAACATGAGGATCGGAAGTATCCCTGTTAAAGAAGCTCGCTGTAGCACAATAAAATCACATGTTTGATAGTAACTGACTAGTTTTAGCTTGGTACTGTTGTAGAAACAATTTCACTGCCCAAGACGCGAAGCTCTCCGTCCTCAGGCGTAGGTACGTCAAACGATTCAGCTCTTCAACAACGTACACCTATGGTGAAAGAGTTTCATGAAGACGGTCATCGTTATCAACACAGCACACTCACTTCATCCAAAAAATCGCATAGCAACACTAACTTGTCATTCATGGGAATCACGCATATAAGGTCGTCTTCGTTCAAAAATCTGAGGAATGAGAGTTAGACTTAGATAATGCCAATGATGGTACCTTTTGGATGCCCTTCCTCTTCATCTTCCCCTCTTATGCAACTCAGCAATAACTTTCATTTGCTCGATAGCGGATGCACGAAGACTGGAACTAAGAGATGCCGACACAGCTAAGTCTATGAATTGCGCTTGAGAATACATGTTGAATATTACAGTGATGAAAAGTTGATTGCAGTTGAGACTGATGCTCACTATGGGATGCCCAAGTCCGATGCTGCCTTAATCACAACAGTCGCACCAACCATAAAGCATATGCTTTCCTTTATGATACCGATATTCAAAAGAGTTTGAGAGATCTTAAGCTCGATTAGCTCACTGATATGGTTTGATAATGTTATTATTAGCGCGAGAATTCACGAGTAGAAAAATAAAATACCTCTCCGTTTCCAAGAAGACGCAGCCTAAAACCATGTGACTCCAGAAAATTTTTTAATAAGAAATTTTGCTACTGCCAGCATGGAACTACAAAACATTCTTGGAAGTCCATACATCAGTATTTATTGCAACTCAAATCACCAGAGCATATCTCCTATTATCGTCAGTGTTGTCCACCTCATTCGTAGAGCTTCAAAAGAATCTTTTGGCTTAGAACAGCGTATGATACACTTGAAAACTGTAAAAAAACCTTTGAAAGATGGAAGTTCCGTGTGCGGTTAACCGCTTGGTCAGATGCTCATTGGTGTTCCTGCTCACCTTCTCTCGAATGTTTCCTCAAATCTTTGGCCGGCTTTTTGCACAATCACAGGCTTCTTTTACAAGACTCTCGCTTCGAGTAAGTTTGTTGTTGTTTTTGATTCTGGAAGACAGAAAGATTTTTCGCAGAATTTCCAACTGGCGCATACAGTGTTGGTTCCGGCATCAACAGCCCTCATGCAGAAGTTCCAAACTGCTGAACAGATGCGCCGATACTCGCTCCAAAACGCAGACGTGTGCAGGAAAATTTTTTCAGGTAATTTGGAAACATCGAAGACACATGAGGCAAAGTAGGTGAGTTCAAAAACCTATATTAGTGCGGTTAGCGCAGAAGGCTATGCCTTCTCCTGCCAAGATAACAGAATCAGTGAAAAAATGCGTGACTTCTTAAAAATGTAACCATTGAGTTAAAAGACCTTTCTTGACCCTGATTGTGCTAACGAGTCAGCTGGTGTTCCTCCTGTGTAAAAATATCCTTCAAAGTAAATCAAAAGCTCGGATGTTGCTATGTGGCAAGCTGGATGATCTCGGGATATGGTCGCACTGAAAATTACAAAGGGTAAAAGAGATAGCGAGTCAACAGAAAATGCGGAGTAAATAACTTGTAACCTACCCAAGAAGTAGAACTTCCTCTGCAAATGACAATGAAGTTGTGGATGTACCGAGAATTCGCCAAATCGGACATGATACTACGTAGCCAGATCGGATATGATACTACCTGCATATACGCTGTGGTTGTGTTTCGCGAAGTACTTTGTCTCAGCTCGAGCAGACCAAACTATAGTGACGGCCTCCTCTTCATAGCGTTACATGACCTACGCAATGAAAATAACATTTCGAGCCTATGTCTGCGTGTTTCCAGTTTCTTCAATCTTTAATTGACAAGGTTAAAACAATTTACACTTTTCAATGTAGAGCGAAGCTTTGGCGATGCAAGCGCTTATCATCACAAAATGCGCTCAAGTTCTTTCCCGGTTAAAATGAATAGTAAGACTGAGTGAAGAACTGCGCGGCCAGGGTAAATGGAGTGCGTACATTGCGGGATGCGCACATACCTTAACCATGCACACACGATAATATGAAATGAGGAGCCTTGTGGTAGTTCTCTTTCAAAACTGAGCGAAACCATCTGGCCAATAAAAACAATGCTAGTGTGGTCAATAAGAATAAAAGCCCAGTCGCAAGTTTTCGTCATATTAACGTCTCGAAACCGGGATCTGGTATTTTACGCTTCCACTACATAGATGGACGAGCTTACGATGAAATTCTGACCTAAAAAGAGATTTGTGAAAATGCCATACACCCTCATTACGAAGAAACTAAGAAGTAAAGAAAGTACTGTGAATTTACACTAACTTTTTGCAGATGGATTGAGTCAAAGCTCATCTTTGTTTTTGGCTCTATACTGACAGTTCTTCAGTAGCGTTCATCTCCGTAAGATATAATTTTATCCTTCTTCACAAACAGTTGAAATAGTAAACGAGTAAGGGATCACATTTCAAGGAAAACGGGGCGAAATCTACTGCTGTAAATCAGCGATTACTGTGCTTGTTCGTGCGACATAGGGAAGAGGGCAACATCACGATAACCGTATTCAGAATAAAGTCAAGACCATTCAAACAGATTCCTGAGCGTGCCGATACCTCGCTAGATAAGCGGTGCTCATAGTAAATTGTCGAGCTC